TTGGGGTGGGGGTGGGTGACAGACAGTGGCATGACCGGGTCATCCTGGCCGTGGCATGGAGAGCTGGAGAGCGTGCAGGAGGAAGGCAAGAGTGGCCTCAGGGAGGCCAGGGGAGAGCATCAGGCAGTTGCCCAAAGGCAGAGCAATTCTGGCCTAAGGTAGGGGGAGTGGGATGGCTGAGAGGGGCAGTCAGGCATATGTAGGACTTGGGATCAGTACATCCTTGGGATTGAGTAGGTTGTAGGGGTGGAGGGGTAAGAGGAAAAACCCCCCAGGTCCCTGGTTCAGGCAGCCGGATGGATGGTGGTACCGTTCACCCACATGTGGAGGAAGAGCAGCTTGAGGAAGGCGCCAAGTTGAGGGAGATGCCTATGGGAGGCACCTACCCAGTGAGCCGAAGCCACCCAGAGCCTCAGGGCAGGTCCAGGCCAGTGCTGCACTTGGCTGTCTTTACCTGTAGGTGGCGCCCGAAGCCTTGAGGCAAAGGCGCCGGGCTTAGCCGCTGGCTCTGGCCCCACTTCTCTTCTCGCTCCCCCGCCACCTCCCGTGCGTGCCCGCTGCTCCTCCAGGCCGCTGCCAACACAAGGAGGGGCTGCAGGGGCCCCAGGCTCCCCAGGTGGAGAGGAGGGCGGGACCACAGGGAGGGCCAGGAGGAAGCCGCCGCAGAGGTCAGGAGCAGGTGGCCGTGCTGCTGGGCCCTGGGCTATGAGGAGCTCTGTCACCAAGCCTCGGGCCTCGAGGCGCCCCGAAAGGTGAGGGAGGTGAAAGTTTCCAGCTGTGGCCAGCCCACGGCCACCTGCCCCGACCCTGTCGAGTCCTCTGGCCTGGCACAGCATCGTGGACTTGGCAGTGGGGAGCTGTGAGGGAGAGGGTGCCTGACCGCGGCTCTTCCAGGGCAGTGTCTGACTGGTGGTCTCCCCCCAGCCCCACAGGCCCGTGCATCTGTACGCTGGGGAGCTCAGCCGCAGTGCCCACCATGGAGGGTCCTCTGAGGAGGAAGACTCTGCTCAAGGAAGGACGGAGACCCGCGGTAAGTGCAGACCCTCCTCCGTCCAGAGGCAGCAGGGGCATCAGGGAGGGCCCTGGGCTCCGGCCCTGGCTGTGCTACTGAGTGAGCAAGGGCCTCACTTTCCACATCTGTAAACTGGGATAAAATAGTGCCTATGTCGTCGAGAACTCAGCAAGACTGTCACATGCACAGCCGTGCACACAGCGAGCACGTGGTGAGCCAGAGCTGTGACGAGGGCGAGTGGAAGCCTGCAGACCCCTGGGCGTTGGGCTGGAACTCCCCCGAGAGGGTCGACACAGCCTGCGGCATGTCCCCAGCTGCAGATGCCCTCTCTCCCTGTGGCAGCATCATCTGGAGGCCTTTGAGGCTCTACCGCTAGTTCCTGGGTCACCTGTGCTGGGCCCACATGTCACTGGCTCCATGACCTCCACCCATGGCAGGGCCTCAGCCGCAGGCAAAGACCCTTGTACTGTTCCACGGAGCATCCAGGCACGGGTTTCCTGCAAACGGCCCGTGGGCCGCACCTCAAGGCAGCGTCTGCTCTGGCCCCTGCTTGCCCTCTCCACTGCCCACGGAGCCCCCTCCTGCCTGTGCCTGCCGGAGGTGCCAGGGCGGCAGCCCAGCTGTCACCCCCAGAGGCTACCCTGTCTGCAGGTGCCAGGTGGCTCGTGGGTAAGGAGCGTCTTCACCTCAGCCCTGGGCCGCACTTTGTCCCTCGGGCCCAGATTATCACAGAGCATTCTGTGACGTGGGGCCCTAGATCTGGCCTGTTGTACGGACCTGCCTGCTTCTCTCCCATGCTCAGAGTTCAGGCCTCGGTCATTCTGAGCCAGGGTGAGACAGTGTCCCACTAGCAGAGTTTTCCCAAATGCTGGTTGGCCCAGTAGTGAGTGATGAAATCAGTCCAGTGGGTCATGACCGGTATTTGTGAGCAGAATAGAAGAGAATGGAAAATGTCAGTGTTCCATAGAATAAAGGTAAGTATTGTTTCATGAAACTTCTTTGAGTTCGACATGTATGTGCATGTGTGTTACACACACGTGTGAGTGTCATCAAACATGTCTGAAAGCTGGTGCTTTCACCATGGCCAGCGCTGGAGCCGCATCCAGCATGGAGAGGGGTCCTGTTGGCTGCAGTGCAGAACGGTCTGCCTCGCTACACTCAACCTTGTTCCTTTCAGGAGACGATTCTTGCTTCGCCTTTGCAAACCAAAAGGCTCGTCGAAGTGATTTTCCCTAAACCAAGGAGCAGAGCCCCCTGAAGAGAGAATCCCAGCCTTCCTGCCTAGAGAAACAGAAAGAATACCTATAGCTCTGCCCTGTTGGCTTTTCCCCCTTCTAACCCTACAGACTTCCCATGTGCTGCCATTCAGTCTCAGCCCGAGCACCCCAGTGCAGATACTGTGGTTCGCCTAGGCTGTGGTTTAGCATGTCTGTGTTTTAAACATGTTTCTCCCCAGGACCTTCTTGGACCCAAGTCACCTGAACACATAGAAATTAAGCCTTGACACTGCCTTAAACAAGGTGAAAAAAAATGAAAGGCTCTTGGAGTAAAGGAGCCAGAGAGAGGAGGCCGGGCTTAGGGCTCAGAGCTCAGAGGCACTGATGGGGAGGGTCTCCCTCCTCCAGGCCCGGGGTGGAAGTGACACTGATGCGTGAGGGGCCGGGAGGAGATGAGGCCTGCACTGGCCTTGGTTGGGAGGAAGGGGACACCATTCCAGCCATGTGACCGGGTCTGTAATCGGGCAGGGAGGGGGGACTCCACCCCACCACGTGCAGCGTTGCCACTCTGCCTCCCCTTCCTCTGTAGCTGTCCTCGTGGACCAGGTACTGGGTCATACTCTCGGGATCCACCCTCCTGTACTACGGAGCCAAGTCCTTGCGGGGCACAGACAGGAAACACGTAAGTCCCATGAAAGGACTCTCCATGCTGGGACTTCAGGTAGTGTGACCTGGCAGGGTTGCGGTGGGGAGGGGGAGGAAAGCAGGGGAGGTGGCGAGGGTGGGAAGGCCCAGCTCAGCTTCCTCGGGGAGTGGAGGGCATAGGCCTCCTGGTTATACTGTTGTTCTTCCCCAGTATAAATCCACACCCGGCAAAAAAGTCTCCGTCGTGGGCTGGATGGTGCAGCTGCCTGACGACCCCGAGCACCCGGATATCTTCCAGCTGAATAACCCCGACAAAGGTAAGCAACAGGCCCAGTGCTGGGTGCCCACGACTTCTACCTTGTTTTTCTCTTCGCTAAATGTATATTTTGAAACAGTAAGAACTTTGGGGGCTGCTGCTTTCCCTTTGCTTTAGGTTGTGATCAGAGGGACACTAGTCCATGGATACTGCTTCATTTGTGATCAGTGTGTCCACTGGGCATGGCATGTGGCTGCAGGAATCCTTTTGTGGCCTCAACTGTGGCTACTGGGGCTCATCACCTTTGAAGCTATAGCCTCAGGGTCTTGGAATAAATACTATAATGCTGCCTAAGGCGTGGACCATGCAGCATCCCAGTGGCCGGGAGGGTCTTGGGTTTTGGGAGATTTCAGGGGCACCCCTGACATTACCTGTGCCATGAGACTCTCACAGTCTCCTGGTCCAAGGCCAAATCAGAGAAGAGCCCTTTTACAGAAGCCCCGACTTTAGCTTGTCTGGTCATCTCCCATTTCCTCCTGGTTCCATCCCTCCCCCATGACCATGATGGATGGAAGGAGAGGTTCTGGGTGCCATCTTGTCCAGAAGCCCTATTTGCATTGACATTCGGAATAGGCCATGCTATCAAAGAAATGGGAATCAGAACCACAATGAGGTATCACCTCACACCTATCAGAATGGCTAAAATCAAAAAGACAAGAAATAACAAGTGTTGGTGAGGATGTGGAGAAAAAGGAACCCTTGTGCATTGTTTGTGGGAATCTAAATTGGTGTAGCCACTGTGGAAAAGAATATGGAAGTTCCTCAGAAAATTAAAAATAGGAATACCATATGATCCAATAATTCCATTACTGAGTAATTACCCAAAGAAAATGAAAACACTAATCCAAAAAGATATTCACCCTATGTTTATTGTATTATTTATAATGGAAGCAACCTAAGTGTCCTTTGATAGATGAATGGATAAGGGAGACGTGACACACACATACGCACACACACACACTAGCCATAAAAATTCTACACAGCCATAAAAAAGAATGAGATCATGCCCTTTGTGACAATATAAATGCACCCAGAGGGTATTATGCCAAGTGAAATAAGTCAGACTGAGAAAGACAAATGTGGTCTGATTTCATGCATATGTGGAATCTAAAAACAACAACAACCACCACCAAAACCAAATGAATAAACAAACAAAAAGCAGAATCAGACCTATAAATATAGAGGACAAACTGATGGTTTCTAGAGGGGAGGGGATGGGGGGGATGGACAAAATGGGTGAAGGGGAATGGGAGATACAGACTTCCAGTTATGGAATGAGGAAGTCCTAGGAATATAGTCAATGATATTTTAATAGAGTTGTATGGTGATCATAGTAACTACACTGTGGGTGAGCACAGCATAATGTATAAACTTGTTGAATCACTGTGTTGTACACCTGAAACAATGTAAGATTTTGTGTCAATTACACTAAAAAAAATAGAAAAAGAATAGCTCATGCTTGTCTTCCTGGTAGCCCACGTCACATGACAAAACCCTGAAATACTGGGGTCTTGGGTTCTAGCCAGGCAAAGTCACTGGGCCTGTCAGGTCTCCAAGCATCTTTACATCTTCTCAGGAATGTTCTAGTGCAAGGTTCGTGTACATACAAATCACCTGAGGAACTTGTAAAATTTCAGGTTTGGGTTCAGTGGATCTGGGCTGGAGCACAAGCTTCTGCATTTCTAACAAACTCCCAGCTAATGCAGATGACGCTGCAATAGAGAGACCACAGGGTTCTAGTGTTGTTAGCTGGGAAGTCAAGAAACAGGAAACCCCCAGGGGCCCAGGGACTGGAGAGGAGAGGAGCCAAGTTCTCTGCTCCACGTCTGAGTGATTGAATCCACACACAGCTCACACTCGTCATAGCATGTCCCGATCTGGTCACCCCTGGAATTTCTTCCTCCAGGTCCAGGCCTGGATTATAAGTGGTTTCTCGGGGAAGTAAAGACTGTGCCTACACAAGCTTGACTTGGGGACCATATGGCCACGGAGACCACAGGCCACTCTTGGGTCTTAGCCCACAGGAAAGCACTGTCCCCAAGCAGAGGGAAATACGACACAGAGGGTGGCAGGGTCTGTGGATAGAATTCAAGGGGTCTGTGAACTCGAGTGGTGAAAAAGAAAATTGCATCTTTGTTTTCTGTGGCCTCTCACGCCTTTATTTACGAGTAGTAAACTACTAGAATGTTCACAACACTGTGATTTTATGTCCAAGAGAAACCACAGATATTTTCCTATCACGTATAGTTGCAGATTTCTCAGAGTGGCATTTCTGCTTATCTCTCTGGAATTACAGTACAGTGTCAGACCCGCCCCTAGATCTTTTTACTGGTGCATAAGTAGAGAAACACACCTAGAACTGTATCACTCAAGTGTTGTTTAGTAGTTTGATAACTGCATTTCAGTGGTATTGATATCCTTTGTATTTTATTTTATGCGTTTTGAAAATGTTTTCTGAGAAGGGTCCACAGGCCTCACCAGAGTCAAATGCACCATGGCCCCCAAGATGGTTAAGAGCCCCGGTCCACAGAGACAGCCCAGAGGCAGCAGAGGTTCTACCCCTGCAAGCCCCAAGCTTACCTTGGACTGCTCCTGACCTTCCTTGGTTTAGTTAACCTAAGTTCATATTCATCTTCATGTCCCAGTCACAGGCAGACCCTCCCATGAGACCCTCCCTCTTCCTAACCAATGGTTTCTCTGCCCGTCAGGCAATGTTTACAAGTTCCAGACGGGTTCCCGGTTTCATGCAATATTGTGGCACAAGCATTTGGATGACGCATGTAAAAGCAACAGGCCTCAGGTAAAGTCACCGAAACCCTGCTTGTCTCTGGAAATATCCTCTCCCCACCCTAGGCACTAAGGGTCCATAGAAAACAGGGCTCCTGGGCGCCTGGCTGGCTCAGTTGGTTAAGCAACTGCCTTCGGCTCAGGTCATGATCCCGGAGTCCCGGGATCGAGTCCCACATTGGGCTCCCTGCTCTTCGGGAGGCCTGCTTCTCCCTCTAATCCTCCTCGCTCTCATGCTCTCTGTCTCTCATTCTCTCTCTAGCAAATAAATAAAATCTAAAAAAAAAAAATTGAAAAAGAAAACAGGGCTCCTTCCTTCCCTCAGAGCCTATCAGCTGTGCTCCCAGGCACCGACCGTCTTTTGAGCAACCTTTCTCCATGAGACAGGGCACCCTCTGCTCAGCTGAGAACTAAGCCTGGCTCCAGATCAGAACGGTGAATCTGGTCCCTGTGTCTTTCCCACTAAGGGAAACCCCACCAAAACATCCATCAGGCACAGTGTGGTGGCAGGTGCGAGATCCCAAGGATCAGGATATAGCATCCATTTAGACCATGTCCCCCAAAAGCTGATTCGTGGGCGTACTCCAGACTGACAGAAGGGCCTCCCTGCCCCATAGCCCCTAGGAATAATACTATTCGCTAATAGGGCGCCTGGGTGGCTCAGTTGGTTAAGCGACTGCCTTCGGCTCAGGTCATGATCCTGGAGTCCTGGGATCAAGTCCCACATCAGGCTCCCTGCTCAGCGAGGAGCCTGCTTCTCCCTCTGACCCTCCCCCCTCTCATGTACTCTCTCTCATTCTCGCTCTCTCAAATAAATAAATAAATCTTAAAAAAAAAAAAAATACTATTCGCTAATATTAAGAGCCAAACATGGCTGCTCCTCAGCGTATCAGAGCCAGCAGGACCTCTGATCTGTGCCCCGCCCAGGACCAGGCATTATGGGAAAGGCCGAATCCTCGCAACATCCCTGTGAGGCATGTTTCTCTTACGGTCTCCATTTTATGCTGAGGACACTGAGGCTCAGAGAGTGGCAGGCACTTGTTCAAGGTGCCAAGGTTAATGAGATCTAACCCCGGTCGGCCGGCCACCAAAGTCTGCCCCGAGCTCCCCTGCCTCGCACTTCCCAGAGGGTCCCCAGCTCGCTCAGCGGCCCGGAGCGCAGCCTCGGCTGTCAGGCTGCTGAGAGGCATGGTTGCTTCAGCCCTCAGCACCCAATGGGGCAGGCTGGACGTTCCTGCCCCTAGGAATCAGCATTTGGCTGCTGGTGCCAGGATCGGTTTTCCTGTCCCTAAGCTTCCCTGTGCATGTTCTGCAGGGATCAGCCAGAAGAGGGCACTGCGGAGTGGGTCCCTCTCTGCCTGGGGAGCCAGCAAGCACCAGAAATTGAGAGTAGGCTATGGCAGCTTCTGGTGGGTAGCAGCTGGGAGGCACCAGCTCTGAGGTGTGAGGGGGGCCTCAGCAAAGGCTGGCACACACCAGGCATTTGGGTCGGGGAGGATGCTGATGACAGCAGTCACGGATTTCTGGGCCCCAACGCGTGGTTCTCGGAGACCAGAGGGAGGTCTCGGCTTGGTCCTAATCAGGATTTTCATCTGTAACATGACATGAGGACATATGTGACAAGCTGGTCAGATTATAGATGATGGGAAGCTAGAAAGCAGAATTAGTAAAAAGTTCTCAACAAACTAAAACAGTAGGAAAGACTGAAAAAAGGAAAATGTGAGGTACCACGGAGGAGCTCAAAATAAACTGCATTTGAGTCGCCTTACTCACCCATCTGCCTGCTAGGAATTTGTCCTGGTGATAGACTCACACATGTCCAAAAAGGTGTGTGGTTCAGAATGTTCACTGCAGGGGCACCTGGCTGGTTCAGTCAGGTAAGCGTACGACTCTTGATCTCAGCTCAGGTCTTGATCTCAGGGTCATGAGAGGCAACTTAAAAAAAATGTTCACTGCAGCATTGTCCTTGATAGAGAAAACTAGAAACCTCTGTGACCATCAGTAAATCCCCATTGTGTGACTCCTGGTAGTGATTAGAAGGACAGAAGCAGATTTGTGTATGGTATCCTGAAAGGGGCTCCAAGATAGAAGTAAAAAGCAAAGTATAGGGGCGCCTGGCTGGCTCAGTCAGTAGAACACGCAACTCTTGATCTCGGGGTCATGAGTTTGAGCCCCACGTTGGGCACAGAGATTACTTAAAAAAATAAAAAAAATTTTGGGGCGCCTGGGTGGCTCAGTCGTTAAGCGTCTGCCTTCGGCTCAGGTCATGGTCCCAGGGTCCTGGGATCGAGCCCCACATCGGGCTCCCCGCTCGGCGGGAAGCCTGCCTCTCCCCCCTCCACTCCCCCTGCCTGTGCTCCTCTCTCAATGTGTCTCTCTCTGTCAAATAAATAAAAAAAATCTTTAAAAAAATAAAAAATAAATAAATAAATAAATAATTAAAAAAATTTAAAAATTAAAAAAATTTTAAAAAGCAAAGGGTAAAACATTTGTAAGGGTGATCTCATTTGTATTAAAATACATAAGCGTATTTATAATATGTATGCTTGCCTCTGTATACAAAATTCCTAAAGTGATATGCAGCAGGTAGCACGAAACTGGGTCAAACCCATTTGGCAGAGCAGGTGTTTGGTCAGAAGGACAAATAGATTGAATTTCATGTATGGCAAATGCGGTATGCCATGGCAAAGTTTTGCAACTTTTAAGTACTTTTGTCCAATTTTTAGACCTAGGTGAGAGGGACATTTTATTTTTTCTACTTTTTTTCCCCTTCTATTTCGAATTTACTTTCAACCACGTATTCTGCTCTATGCTGTATGTGATCATCAAAAGTTGGCAACAGCTAACTCTTCCAAGCAGATTATTTAAATAAAGCACAGCACGTCCCTGTGATGGCATGCAGGGGCTGCAATGAAAGAAATCACAGAAATGCATCTACTCTCATGGAAAATCTCAGTGACTGGGATTGGTTTTCTTTTTGGTGGACTTGCACTTCTTAAAATTGTTTGTACTGACACCGAATACGCTTAAACCTTATTTATAACATGTGTAAGGTGTAAACCACAGCGGAAAAAACCACACCCAGCTCCTTGCCCACCCAGCCTAAGGGCAGGACCTCCTTGGGCCTCAGAACACCTCCCTCCCCCAGGGGCCTCTTCCTAATTCTGTGTCCCACCCATCTGCCTGCACCTCCTAACCACTCTCCTGATTTATTTACTGTTCCTTTAAAATGTTAGCACGTGTATTTGATTCCTTAATGTATTGTCTGGGGTACATTTTTAAAAACATTTTTAAAAAATAGGACCATAACTGGATATTTTCTTCTGTGACTTGCTTTTCTCCTACAGTGTGTTCCCGAGATTCATCTGTGTCAATGTGTGTAGCTGTCATTCATGTATTTGTACTGATTTTTTTTTATTAATTCTTCTGGCAGTGATCCCAGGAATAATTTCCTGCTTTTTGCTATTTTGAACAGTGCTGCTGTGACCATTCTTATAACTATCTCCTGGTGCAAGGAGATGCATTTTTTCCCAATTCATCACTTTGACCAAATTGACACTAAGATGATTAGTTTTTGATGAAATTGCTTCGCATCAAATCTCCTGGAACCCTATAGCAGAGCCGGGTGGGGGAGCCTGGGGCTGGGGGCAGCTTTGAAGGGAGAGGGAAGCACCCTGACCTTGGGCTGGTGGTCTCCCCAGGAAAGGTCTCCCCAGCAAAGGGATCGTGTCCTGGGGACACAGCTCTGGGAAGGCTTTGGAGTTCCCAGCATCCTGATCGCTCCTCCTGGTGCTCCCGCTTGTCAGTTCCTGCCACCCCCCCCACCACCCACCCCTGCCCGCTGGTTTCCCTTCCAGAGGCTCATGCCCATTCCTGCAGAATTTGCCTCCTCTCCGTTTGAAGTGCAGTTTTATTTTGCCACCAGCCTAGTGAACGAGAGAGCGTGGGCTCTGAGGCTGTGGCCTGCCATTTACTCGAAGTGGGCTTCCCCTCTCTAAGCCTCAGGGTCCTCATCTTTGTCACGGGGATACTTCCCAAACCTGCCTCCTGGGGTGTTGTGAAGACTAAAGGACATGATGATGTCAAGTGCCTGGCACACAGCGGCCACTTGACAAACAGCGACCGTGTTTCTTGCCAGGCCCTCTTACCCACCCACCCTGCTCATTCGCAGACTCACTGGGAAAGACCTGATCCCTTCCCTTAGGGGCACACCTCGTCCCATTCTGAAAGGTTGGAACTTTGACAAGAGGCTGAGCTTTCTCTTCCAGGTACCTGCAAACCTTATGTCATTTGAATAAGTCTCTGCAGGACTTGGCGTGACTTCAGAGGCTTCTGAGAGCCCAGCCTGGGACTGGTGGCGAAGCGCATGTCCTGGGCACAGGCTTTTGGCCAGGATGCTGGGTGACTCACGGCCGGACTCAAGGGGACTTGGCCTGTGGCCTCACAGTCCAGAGGGCTCCGCCAGTGCAGGGTCCACCTGCCAATCCCCAGCGACTCTCATGACATTCTTCAGCACCACCCCGCAGGGCCGTGGTTGGGCCCCAGACTGTGCACTCCACCCTCCCTCTCTGGGCCCTCGTCCGTCCACCAGCTGCTGCTTCGACTAGAGAGCATCCGGCCCACGTTGGGTCTCCTGTGCTTTCTCCTGCACAAGAGTGGACAGTGTTAACCTGCATGAGGGGCCAGAGAGAAGGAACAGGCTATGGAGTTGGCTTTTTATACCCCAAGTGCACGGGGTCGCTCGCCCACAGGGCTGCCTCAGATTTTGTACAACCCCCAAAGCGTCCTCTGCGTGTGCGTGCCGTATACGTGTGCGTGCGAGCGAGTGTGAACTCTTCATGAAACATGCATTTTGGCACAAGACTTGTGACATCACATCCTTCATTCGCTTTGAGGCCCTGCTTTAACCTGACATGATAGCCTTGTCCACTGAGGAAGGTCAGAGTGAGAGCCCAGATTCCTCCTATGTTAAGGGTTCCTTGCATTCTTTTACTGTAAACAAACAATGCCTTAAATTGTGTCTTGTTTTCTGTTCCAATGGGTGCTATTCATCTGGAAGGCCTGCTGTCTGGGCCCCCCGGGTCCCTTCCAGGCCTTGTTGCTGTTGGCTCTTCTGAGACAGGACCCGGCTTCAGGACTGTGGACTGGGCTGGCCTGCTTGCTCCCTCCCACCCCTCTCCTGCAGGGTCTGAAAGCCCGTGTCTTCGCCCCCCGCCGCCCCCCCCCGCCGCCCCAGACCATGCCAGAGTGGGAAGTCATGACACTTTCTCCTGACTTCCTAGGAAGCACCCAGAGGCTGCCATGCTCATGCACAGAAGCCGCACAGAAGCCGCTGTGCACCAGCCCCTCCTGGAGGGCGAGGCTTTGCTCCCATCATTTACTGCCAGGGCGGGGCCCGCTGGGATTCCTGGTTCCACTGGGGAGCTGAGTGACACTGAGGCCTTAAGCTCCCCCAGTCTTGCCCCCAAACGCAGTCACCAGCAAGCTCTCCACATCCAAGTCCAAGGGCACTATTGTTGATGACCATGGTGACGAGAGCAAAGCCCTGGGGAGTGAACAGTCCCAGCTCTGCATTCAGTTAAGCACTCTTCACATGGACAATGTCCTTGATCTGTCACTGTCTTTTAAGTGGCTTTTATTTTGCACAAATACATCTTTATTCAAAACAAAGAATAAAAGTTAGCTTTATTTATGGTAGCTTTATCCCATAGCTTCTCTCCCTCCCTCCCTCTCTAATCTGGGTGTCCGAATTCTGAGAAGGAAACCCTGAAAGGGTTTTCTGAATTCCTGGGTCTTTGTTGCTGTCATGGTTTCCGAGCTCACACTGATCAGACATCAAACCACCCTTAAGAGTTTCTGGGCAAGATGCTTCAAAGCAACATCTTCACCAGGAAAGTGTGATAGGTGAATTTTAAAACTACCAAAGGACCCACCACTGTATTTTGATCAAACGGTGACAACTTTCCTGAAAATTCCAATGAATTGGTGAGGAAAGTAGTTGCCGTCAGGGTCTTATTTTATGGTCGAGGCTTAATGTGCTCAGCAACTAACCCTCCAAAGGAGCAAAGCCTAGAATACTTTTGTGCCAGGAGAAGCTCCAGGTGATATAGTTGGTGCCATCCAATCTTGGCCGTGAGTGCTCTGCACACCCATGCACAGCTGGGGGGCCAGATGCTTGCACCCAGTTCACACCAATGACTACTCAAATGGGCATCCAGAGGCCGAAGGAAAACACCAAACACTCCCAACACCTCTCACCAGAACCACTCAGTGTTAACGCTTTAACCTACACTGATCTGATTCTACCTGTTAATATTTTTTGAAGTCTTAAGTTTGGAGGATAGCGCAAGACTGGAAAATCAGCTACTTATTTTCCTTGGGTTTCTCCACTTCTCAACTGTCCTGGCTCTTCTCGCATGAAATACTATAGATGCCAATCCAAGAACCTCAGAATTTCAAGCTCCCTTCAGTCAGCGCATTTTCTGCCCTTTACACATTTTTCTTATCTTTCGCAAAAATTTTCTTCTGAGCTGAATTTGAGATAGCACAATTGCAATTCTTTTCAAAATGCAAAATGTTTAGTCTTCTCACTGATTGAGACTGATCCCACATCCCCTCCTAGAAACATTCTTAGCTTGGACTCTTGAAGAATCTGCTTAGACCTTGTTGGCAAAGGCCTTTAGAGCTGGTAAGAACCTCGAATGTACCGGAAGGGTCCTGGAGACAGGCCGAAAGATGCTGGGCTCTCCCAGCCAGGACGGGGGGCCAGGCATTTAAGTGCTGATTATCTTCCCGCCATTGGTTTGTCCCTCAAACAGCGGGTGAGGAGGCCCTCAGGCTGGCACAGAGGAGGCCAGGTACAAACCCTAAAAGGGAGAAGTCCATGGGTGGATCCTCACCCTGGAGGGAAGCATTTCTGGTTTTTGCGCTTTGACTGTCCATAATGCACCAATGTTTGTGAAACCATCAAAGGTGATACGTCTTGCATGCATATGCTGGTGGTTGGTTTTTCGTTTTTTGTTTTTTTTTTTTCTTTTGAGCAAACAGATAATGGTGCCCCAAAATGAAAATTATAGAATGCTGTCTACAAAATCGTGGAATAGGTAGTTGGTATCATTATGATGCCCCAAGAGCCTCATGCACCTCTCCCTGGGAATAATTTTTGCCCCTCTCAGTTGGAACATGTTTTATAACTCAAGGTCAGCCAAATGCATTCTGACAACTGAAATGCTTCATGGAGGATTGATTCAGTGGGGAGCAGTAGAAATAGTGTTCTGAGTGTGCCAGTGAGAGAGTGCAGCCCCCCTTTCCTTCCCTGAAGACACCCATTCATCACCCTGTCTCGCCATGGAACCTAAACAGGAAGATACTTGAAGCCATTCTGTTTAGGAAAGAACCCACTCTCTCTTGCCAACTGAATTTATAAAGTATTTTTTTTCCTTACCAAGATGGCCAGTATTTCTTTCATGATCTTCCTCTGCCACCTGCGAGCCCAAGACATGTATCTTTTAGGATACCATTTTACAAGTGGAAAACGACCCATGAAAATGGGAAGCCTTTCGCAAGCGGGTCTGATTTCATTCCACAGGTGGGTCTACAGCTCTGCACCCACATTACTAATGCTTGTAACTGGGTGAACATTGCTAAAAACACAACCTAACTTATTTTGCGTGACTTCATAAATGGCTTTAACCAGCTTCACGTCGTACTGACATGTTGTGTGATTTCATGTTTTAAATAGAAAAAAAAAAAAACCACACGAGTCCCTTGGAAATAACATTATCTGTGCAAAATCACCCATTCGTGCATTCATTCATTCGTTCATTCATGACTCCAGTGAGTGCTTCCTGTGTGCCAGGCTTTACCCAGGATATACTGTAAATGGCTGAGGACAAGCAGAGCTGATCCTTGCCCTCATGGAGCTGACCACACTCAACGAACAAATAATCCTCACCATGGCATCTCCTCCGGCAAGACCCTGCCTCTCTCCTAACACTGGGTAGAAACCCTGTGCACATTCCTCCGGAAACGTTTCAAAACACTCCCCAGACTGAATAGCCTCTTGATCGGTGAGTTCAGTTGCAAGGAGAACTAGATGCAGTCGCTGTCTTAGAGGCTGGTTGTCGCAGAACACCCAGGCACAGAGCTTTGGTCGGGCATGCTGCGGAGGACTCTGAGATGGAATGAGAGAGTAGGGTCAGAATGTTCACAGTATTTACTCCAGAGGCTTTTTTAGTTTTAATTTCAGTGTTAAATGCAAGTACAGCATGAGCGAGAGCTACATTTTCATGGGTGTTGAGAACTTGTACCATGGACCACCTCAGAGTCCTGTGCTGCACAAGGGTGGGTACACTGGGGGCAGCCCCCAAATCCCTGTTTGCAGCAGCAACGGGAAGGATCATCTGTCCGTTCTATAATCGTTCTTCTCTTTACCTATTTCTGAACGACTGTGACCATTCAGTAATGAAATATTAGTAATTAATTTATTAGTATGGTATAATCTTTAATAAATTTCGTGCCAAAATGCATGGTTTTTCACTTAGCATTCAAAATGTTGCGTAGAGAGTAGTTTTCAATTTCTTATGTATTCCTCAAAGTAAGTTGAAAATCAGTTTCTACATTTTAATTTGTTTCTTGTTAAATCTGTTGCACTCTCCTGGGCTGTCTTTTTTTTCCAGCAGACCCCCCCCCCCCCGCATGCAGTTGTGTGAGGACTTTCTCTAATTCTTGTGAATTGTCTCACCCACAATAACCACTGAACATCAGCCCTCAGTGGGATTCTTTAGATTTTTGGTGAAGTATTTTGTTACCTCAGTCTTGTATCAAGTTGCTGTATTTTTCAGCTTGTTACACTGATAATTGTTTCACTAATTAAATACTTTAATGTACAAACATCTTTGTTTACTTTGAAATTAAATGTGTTTTCCAATGAATATTGCTCAATTTATTATTCACGTGCATTCACTTAGTAAACCATTGCTGTGCCAGATACAGAGATCAAGGAGGTCTAGGGCACTCAGAGCTCAGCTTAGAGGTTACTAGAACATAAATGACATATGGGAGCAATGCCTTCAGGAAGGGACAGAGTCAGTGCTTTGGGCACTCAGAGAGGGAGGTGGAGGATCTGGGGAGGGGACTGGGGCATTTGGAATTCATTTCAGAGATTGCTGAACACATGGAGGACGGGGGAGGCAGGAAGACAGAAAGGAGAAGGAGCAGGATGAAGTTGGGAGAAGCAGCCAACCCAGTCTCACTGAATAAAGGATTTGGGGGAGTAATGGGATCCAGGTCTGAAAAGATACGTTGGGGGAGTTCAAGATGTTAGGCAAAAACCAGAAACCCACTCTAGTTTGCTTAAGAAAAGGGGGACCGTCTTACAAGGCTGTCTCATGGAAATGCATGGAAGGACAAAGGTGGAGTCTCAAGGGGCTGGAAGAAGTGGAAAGCTTCCTACCTCTTTCTCTCTCCCCTTCATTCTCTATCCAGATTGGCTTCTCTGCTGGAATGTGCAGCAGCAATGAAGTCCAGGCATTACAGTGAAAGCACTGGGAAAGTCATGAGGGAGTGTGTGCCAGTTACAGGATCCAAATTGATCATGGGAGCCCCAGCCCTGCTTGCCTCAGTTTCCCGGCTAGTGCAATGGCTGATTCTCCAAGCACAGGCTCCCACACACACTCCTGAAGCTCTGGTCCACCACCCCAGCAGAGCCACACCTCCCTACAAGCCCTGCTTGCTGAGGGGCCCTAACTTACCTCCTCCTCACGATTTAGATGGCACAGTGACCCCCAACTTTACCCAGGTAGGGACGCTGCCCTCAGCCCCGGTGCAGTGCTCAAGGGCTCTGAGACGGATGCATCTGACTTGGGGAGGAGGCGAGGAGGGTGAGGTGCGGAGGTTGTCACAAAGCTGGAAAGAGTACATCACATCCAGTCAAGACCTTAACCCACGACTGGTCACCTGCAAAACTCCAGCCCCTCATTCTCACTGCGTCAGGCGCCACAAACGGCCACCCGGAGACAGCAGTACTTCCACTTAATGGATGGAGAGATCCGTGAGCTAACGCAGACTACCGTAAAATGCCTATTTAGCCTTGAGGGCAGGTATCCTACCCCTGCGCATCGCCCTCCCGGGCGCAGGTGAGGGGGTGTGGGCGGGGCCGTGTGGTGGGCGGGGCTTGGGGGAACGCGGGCTGTGGGCGGAGCCCTGTCCGAGCTGGGTTGAAGGCAGCGGTAGTGAGCCGGCCCTTATACTGGGGGCTTTAGAGAGAAAAGGGGACTCCGTGCCTGTGGACGGGACACGGGGAAGGGCGGCCCCCAGAGGGACGCTGCTACGTTAGAAGCGGCCAGGAGGCACTGAGGTGTGGAGGGACGACGCTCGAGGGAGCTGACGCTTTGGGTGAGGGCAGAGGCCGCGCGGGAGCTCAGTAGTGGAGGAGTAGGTGGGCGGGGCCTGGGTCTGTGCTGAGGGACTAGGAGCGGGAGGGGCGTGGCCTCGGCCGGACAGCGCTGAGGACAGGGTGGGCGTTTTGGGTGTCTGGGCCCGACGGAGGTGAGGAGAGCCCACCCCCCGACCCGGTGGGGCTGGCATGTGGAGGGCATGGCTGGAGCTAGGGGCTGGGGCGGGACCTTGACCCGGCTGAGGAGCACGGGGAGGGCTGGGG